GATTAAAATTACAGTTACTGCTAGAACTAGTGGGCGCTAGGCTTGTTGAAGAAAGATGATGATGAACGAAAATTAGAAATCTCGGTTTTGGCTGTTCTCCGGTTTTAGACTTTGGAACGCTCTGGATATCTGAATAGCGGCATATACACCGGAGATAGATAGACTATTTTCATATCTAGCTTCTGATGACCTGTAGAGAGGAAAATCCAGATGGCACGGGCATCCGTGTGATCCATACGTAGAGAGTACTAGCGCACTCTCTGATATGTAAATATATTTTAGTTTTTACGTACTATAGGATTAGTAGCTTACTGTCAAAAATGTTCAACTTTAATGCAAACACAGTGGCGTGTATTGTACTTTTTATGGCACAGTTCTGATGGTCCTACTATATGACGTGCAGTAGATTGTGGGTTAAAGTTATAACGGGTACAAAAAGATGTTTATTATTTACGCAAACTTCACAAAATCTATCTATCTATATATGTATGTATATTTCTTTGAAATCGAGGAGGAACCAGTCATGTTGCCTCCTTGCGTGGCATAATGAATCCTTCGAAGTTTTGCTTTAAAAATTTTCAAGAGGCTGTATTACCTCCGTCACCTTCGGTTATGTTTGCACCCCTGTGTTTGTTTGTTTGTGTGATTTTCAGCAATATTTCTCGAAAACGGCTGAATCGATTTAGACGAAAGCTGGTATAACTTTGGACTATGATCCAACTTAAAAGCGATTATTTTGATGGGTCAAGGTCAAAGGTAAAGGTCACAGTAAGGTCACAAAAATCCAGAAAATTCCTATCTGTTAACATAAGGCCGATTTCTCACACAATTTTTGCTCTATAATTCAGTCAAAAATGATCGGATTTGGATTAAACTTGGTGGAATGTGAAGAATAGTGTTCCTCATTGTCCTGCCAAAAGTGGTCCGTGTCTGTTGATAACAACGGACATATGGTGATCCAGTGATGGAAATGGGGGTACACGCCGTGTACCTAGTTCTCAGTTTGCATTATTTTTCCCATTTATTAATCCTATCGTCACGGGTCAAAGGCCATTTCATCGCGTTTGTTGATTCGCATTCAAACCTTTTTGAACTACTATTTTATGAATTTATGTCAATAAGTTTGGTATCAAACTGTATATTATAATTCAACTTTTAGTATTATGATTTAGTCAATTTCTTAATCTAAAAGTAAATATTAAAAGAACACAACTAAATATTTATTTTTGTGTGCCATGTGGTATGCTGAATTCAGCATTGATTTAAATTATATTTTTGTGATGTCCAAATACAAGCCTAAAGTTTCTTATGAAATAGGAACTGAAATTACTGATATTGACAAGCTAGAATATAAAATATGAACCTTCTATCTTTTCTATTCGCTTTTTATACCCATCATCCCATTGCTCCTTCTATGTGCGTACCTTGTTCGTAAAACCAATTTTCTCTCCTGATATGCTCAGATTTTCGTCTTTTTTGAGGGCCGAATATGAGCAACACTGGTTGCAAAGGATGCGCTCTACTGACTGCCCCACTAGTTGCACCAGTCTCTAGATATAAGGATGCACTCCTTTCCGCAATGAAGGTTTCTTTCTGTGAGTATAAAACAAAATATTGGTGTTGAGTATCATATTATTATTATTTGTATCTACAGAAGAGTGTTTCAGGTATTTTAATAAGCCAATTAATTTACGAAATTTGAACTACTCTTACTAAACGCATACTTTTCTTTGCGTTTTTTCAGTAACGATTATTGTTAAGTTCCACGTTTAAATATGGTATAAATAAACATTTTCATTGAAAAAAGAGCAAAACTAGTTGATTCTTTTACATTTATCACTTATGCCTAAATGGATTTTCAGATCTTATGATTGATAAATACGTAAAGTACACGATTATTGTGGTAGTTAATATTTTTTTTTTTATTTTGATACATCTTTTGGTTATCAATAATCTTTGTGAAAATTATCGACAATCATTTACCATCTCTGTAAACGACTGAAAGTGGTTCATGATATAACTGTTCTGTGTTTTATCTACCTCTAACAGCCTCATGTTCACAACGAACGAGCTGATAATATTGTGGTCCAACAAAAGTTTGAAAAGTTTTCAGAAAATTTAAATGAAGCGATATATAATTACACAATATATGTTTCTTCTCTTTGTTATTCACCTGGTTGAAAAGCAGTGTAACATGTAGTTTGCAATTTGTAGCTCGAAAAGCTTACTAAACCAAGTAAGACAGTTTTGGAAATATGATGCTTATGGCCCTTTTTTCCTATTTTGTTTATTTTAAGCGCAAAGCTACACACAGTGAGCTGTCTGCGCTCTACCCAACGTGGGTATCGAAACCCAGTTTTTAGCGTTATACGTTTTAATGCTTACCGCTGAGCAAGCGGGGAGAAGACAATTTCAATTCACAACAACTTATAGTCCGAAACAGAGAGTTGGTACGATGCCATCAGCACATATTAGTTTACAATATACCAAGAAAGTAAAATTCTTAATTTAGTAAACACGACTATAGTTGTGATGCTATGCCTCTCACACAGAACAACTTTATATGTTATTTTTTTACTTACGTTTCCTTAACAAAGTAATATAAATGACGTTATTTTACATCTTATTTAGAGTTATTTGAATTGAATACTTATTTTACTCGAGAAATAACCACTTTTTGATTTTGTTGTCCAGGATACATTTGTTAATGTTTATATTTTGTTGTCCAGGATACATTTGTTAATGCTAATATTTTGTTGTCCAGCATACATTTGTTAATGTTTATATTGTGTTGTCCAGGATACATTTGTTAATGTTTATATTTTGTTGTCCAGGATACATTTGTTAATGTTTATATTTTGTTGTCCAGGATACATTTGTTAATGCTAATATTTTGTTGTTCAGGATACATTTAGTTAATGTTAATATTTGTTGTCCAGGATACATTTGTTAAAT